TTTCTGACTTCTATTTAAAGCTCATCAACTCTAACTTAGGTTCAATTTCTTCGCCAACAATAACTCGGATATTGGTCATTACGTATGAGGGATGTCTATCTGCGACAATAGAGGCACAAGGCCCCAATTATCCCCTTTTATAAATGACACTCATTAATTTATAACCAGCTCTACGTGACAAATGGTCATGAGCGCAAAAGTTGATTATCGTGGAGCCATTGTTACTAGTACAGTGAAAAATCTCTTTCTAAACCACTGTGATCTGAGAACGATTACAATTGAATTTAAGTATACTTACTATAAAAAAAAAACTATTTTTTTCTTATCCAAAATAATTTATAACTATATATTAGATAGAAGATGACTTTGATTAAAGTGAACTTTTACTTTTTCCGAATGGGAAGCCAGTTCACAAATTCTTCGCACGGCATGGCCATTGTGGAAAGTTGGATGGCAGTACGGCTAGATTCGGACCTCCCACTACACTATATGAAAACTGTTAATTTGTTTAATAGATAATTATAATTTGTCTTTGAGTACATATTAGAAAATGAGTGTAAAGTATGAAGCACGGACGAGTATTAGATTTGGAATGAATCATAAATGTTTACTAAATAATTTACCAACTATGATTAATGTTGTTGATGTCAGTTTTCGAAACAAAGGGTTATGTGAGGATTGTTTAAGGTGTTAAGGTCCTCAGTCTCCTTTAGACAGTTGGTTCTTAATTAAGCAGAGAATCTCGTCCTGCACATGAACAACACGTGACAATATCGGAGTTGGGATCTCTGGTGCTTCCTCTGACAATTAATTCTGTAGTGAACTTGAGTGGAGAAGAATGAGTAATTTTCTAGCAAGAAATTACTTACCCTATGTAGTAGACATCATCTTTCCTTTATAGCAGATCTAAAGGGCAAATGCGTAACTTTGGCCAAGTCCAAGAAGGTAGCTTAGTCAATAGTTATTTTATAGGCATTGGTTGCAGAGGTGAATGAGTCACTCAGGCGTTTAATGCGATAGTGACAAGATATGCATGACGCTGACGAGGTCCGATGAGTCATAAAGACTTTCGAGGCTTGAACAATGATGATTATGATCATGCATTCAATGTGATGGCGATCTACTTTCAGCGGGGGACTCGAGGATAAATCGCCTCCCGACTCGTCTCTATGAGAGGGTTGGCGAATGATGCCTTTCGCTTCGATCTTGCGAGCGGACCTATAAGTATTGTCTTTTTACTCGACTTCGAAAGTTCTCGACACGGCTTTGTAGACTGATTTACTCGCACGTCTTTCGACTCAGCCCTTCTTAGAAAGGGTCGAATGTTGAAGCCTGTTCGAGTCATCTCGTATAGAGTGAGGTTGATCTGGTGTTTAGTTAATACGGGACACATGTCGACTCACCGTGAAAGATTAGCACTTAGTCATTTATATGATATAATGAATATAATAATTTCTATAGTACTTTCTTTAGTGGAGAGAATCCAAATCCAATACGTATTGACCATCTCTCCAAAATAGAAAAGAGGGAAACGTGAGAATTTATCCAATATCCGAGTTTGGGGGAGGGAGGATAACTTGGATGTGGAGTATTCTGGCACAAACCGTCGCCAAAAGGAGCGCAGACACGGGTCAAAAAGCATTTCAATCAACGTTCAAAAAAGATGTCTCAAGCAAAGCAGTCTTTTCTACTTTATGTTAAAAAACTGTTTGCTTCGAAAATCAAGCATAAATTTCTAGTGTGATAGTGCAAATCTCACGTGGTATTATCTTTGTTTTTTTAAATCGGAATAAATAGTCAGAATTAGAATAATAAGACTCTCTAATTGGCACCACATTAGAGGGAATCATAATCTCTTTATTGCTCTAGAAAATAAAAATGGGAAAACATTAGGATATTTGGTATCTTTTTTTAACAATTGTTTGGTATAAATTTATAAATATGAAAAATTATATATCTTTTTTAATAGATTGTTTTTTTACTAGCTACGTAATAATATCATATCATATCATATTCCCTTTGAAAGCAAGAGTTTGAGAAAAACTTTCCATGGTCAATATTATCATTCACTATTTTAAATATTTCATGTAAATCTAAATTTATTCTAATTCTAATTGTATCTTATACTAATCCCACATGAACTACGTATAGCTCAACAATTAAAAAAAAGATTACTAATATACATGAAACACTATTTTGAATAATTCATGTAAATATCATCACATTCTAATACTAATTATATCTTATACTAAGCGAACGTGAACTACCTGTTGCTCAACAATTAAAAAAAGATTAAGAAATCATACATAGCTAATATATTATAATACATAAAGTATTTTTTAAAAAAGCCTAAAAAGTTTTAAAAATTACATAAAATATCCTCAAAACCTTAAAATTACACAAAACACCATGACTTTTCAAAACTTAAAATAACAAACATGGAATCTTGAAATTAACAATAGACCTCAAACAATTTTAAATTTACAACTAACATGTTCAACATTTCAAAAATTGAAACAACCTCAAAAGTTCAAATTAGAAGAAAAAAAAACACCTTGAAATCTTGAAATTTTAAATATTGCAAAGAATATTGATGAATGCAAGGGATTATCATCAGGTACTTGAAATTTTAAAATTTGTAAAAAATACCTTAAATGTATAAAAAGTGCAAAAACTATCTCAAAAGTTAAAAATGCCAAAAAAACCTAAAATTTTAGAATTATAACCAGTGCACATCAAATCTAAAAATTATCATCAGATCGCTAAAAATTTAAATTTTATAAAAAACAACCCAAAGTTTCAATATTTATAAAAAACACCCTCAAAATTTTTAAGTTGCAAGAAATATCTTAACATTTGAAAACGTACCACTAACACACGAAAAATGGAATTTCAAGCACCCATCATAAAATTTAAAATTTTCAAAAAACACTATCAAAGTTTTAAAGATTGTAAAACATGCCCTCCAATTCAAAATCACAAAAAAGCTGAAATTTTCTAAACTTGACAAAGAAAAGAGTAATTGTTTGATATTTTTTTCATTAAGGTATATAAACTTAACTTTCAATAGAGTTAAGCGGTGGTTCTACACTTGTAAAGGCTGCAAACAAAAAAATGGATAGAATTCTTAATAAGAATGTCAATGATAAATGTCATAGAATTGCCGATGAGGTAGTACCAAGGTTAAGTAATATCTTTTTTTCATAAACTATTAAAATTAATTATTAATATTATAATCTAAGGATAATTGATAATAAAAATGTAGGTATTTAGTTCGGATCCTCATGGAGAATGGCACAAACAAAACAAAAATAATATTATTTGACGTAGCATAAACTCTTATTAGATATATAATAGAATAATTTATTGTAGAGAAAAAAGAGATAACTCCCAACCTTATTTAAGTCATAAATTAGAAACACAAAATTTTCATATGTGTAAGTTTAACATTTATTCTCATTAAAATAGAAAAATAATCAAAATCCATATATTTCTAGAAGTTTGTGTTGAACATTGAAAATATGTGCAACTTTTTTTGTGAAGTAAGACGAGAAGATAAAAGATGAACGAGCCTGGAAAAAGATAACAATACAAAAAAATCCACCTCCAGTATGATGTCACAATTGATGTTAGAGGATGAAGACACTACTCTAGAATTACCTAGGGAAAAAAGATAAAGATGGAGAATGATTGATCTCAACTCAATAAGAAAATAAAACACAATGAATAAAAAGATCTATTTTCTAAATCTTCTATAGAATAGTTTAAATTTTTGAGTAATATTAAGAATCTTTAGAAGGGGATTTCATAAATTTTTAGTAGATTATATGCCTATGTAAAAATCTATGAAGAAATGCAGAGAAAACACAGTCACACAATCGATATGTTAAATTTGAACGTGTGCTCACAAAATGTCCACATTGAACCCATAAAACATCGCTTAAGGTGAAAAGTAGTCAAAGTGATGATACTTTAGAAGAGAGTTACAAGTTCACTAATAATTTAAGGGTAACCGGCTATTTCCTTTCAAACTACGTTATAAGTATGAAACAATGAAATAGAATACCATAGATTTGAAAGGGAAAAAAAAGTTAGAAATACACAGTCTGGGTTTTGAAGAAACAATCTCACATACTCAAAAAGGAACAAAATTGGGGAAATGTTTATTTAATATTATAACTTCATAAATACGTTAGGTTGTTAAATAAATAAATAAAAGGTAAACATTTTAGGTCTCTCTATCTACAACTTTATCCTCAAATTTACCTCGGTCTAAAAAGTAGTCAACCAAATACTGAAAACCC